CAAGCTCCAGCATATTGTGCTGTTGCTGTTGTAGACTGAATATTGATACCAAGATTAAAATGTGAAAGCAGAGCTCATTTACATGTTTCCACTCACTGTCTTTGTTAAGGGAGAACAAGTAGAGATTGCATCTCAAAGGTTTTAAGAATGTACTGTCTGATTCTGATACACAATGATATTGTTTCACATGAATTATTTAATACCTACAGTGAGACTTTCAAAGTGTTTTTCCACATCCATAACACTTGCACAGTGTTTTCTATCTGTAATCTTGCTAAAGCTTGTTTTTTTTCACTGTGTAAGGTCTGATAGTGAGAGCAGGATTGTAGTATACTTTTGTTTACATGCTTTTGAACTTCTGAATTGTGTATACTCTGCAGAATGCTGACTTCAGAAAAGAAGATTTCTCTGTCACTGTGCTGATAATTTTTTCCCTTTCTATGAATATGTTGATGTCTGTTGAATTATAAGTCTTGGCAAATTTTTAAATTAAATTTGTTTTTAAAAATATTGTTCATATAATTGAGAGAGATGCATGCCCATATGGGTCTCCAGTTAGGGTGCTGAGGGTCTGGGTATGGATGAAGGTGGGTGGGATAGATAGTTTGTTTTTCCTCCCATGTCTTCAGGGCAGAAGAGGAGTGGGCCACACTGCTGTCAAATTACATCTGCATCTGGGGATAGCAGGCAGACCTTCAGTGATGTCTTAGAGACCCTGATGTGGAAAGAGGATTCCAAGGGTGGTACTTGAGTGGTTTTGTTTCACCAGGGTTGAAAAAATCTTTCCAAAATCTGTTGGCTGACTACATCTATTTTAGTGCACTGCTAGGCCCAGGAATATGTTGCAAAGCTTGGCCAGGAGAATGATTCAACTTGTTCTGCTTTCCATCTTCTGACAAGGCCCTCCACATCTCTGCAGGCCTAGATAAGCTGTCTGTCCAGGACATGCCTGTCCACTGCACACACAGCATCTGAAGAGGCCCAGTCTCAGCAGACACACTCCAAGCTTGTACTACATACACTGAGATTTTCTCTATGGCTGGGTTTTGAGTCCAGGCATATAATTTGGGGAGTCCCCCCAAAAACCTCTCCTGGGGTGATCTCAAATTTGACTTTTATGTGTGCCAGCTGGTGCAGGTTCAGGGTCTGTCACTTGTCCCAGCCAATGCACATACCAATGTACATTGCTCAGTTCTACCCCCAGCCCCATCTCACATGTAAACTGATGGGTGATGTGGTCTAGCCTAGCCCAGCCCATCCTGCCACACAAGTGGGTGCTGAGGCCTGGTTGGGCGACTCTAATATCCCCCACCAGTCCATCCCCAGCCCTGGTTGTTGTATGTGCCAGCCTCTGCTGCTGCCTGACCTGACCAAACCCACATCTCATCCTACTCTAGTGTGTACCTGGACCAACGTGCCTTGACCAACCTGGCCCACCCCCAGCCCTGCCTGTTATGATTACGAGTGTGAGCTGTAACCTAGCATGGCAGTGCCCACGGTACCCTTACCAGGCCCACTCCCAGCCCTGAATCTTGCCCCTGCCTGGGGGTTCTGCAGTCCAACCTGACATGACTTGTACCAAGTTCTGGCACTTACTAGCATGTGCTATAGCCTAGCCTGGCTGGCCCACCTCCAGCCTAACTCACCCAGCTCTCATGCTTAATAGTGGAAATAGAAGTCCAGCAAAGGATTCTTCGAAGTTTCTCTACCAGGCCTGCTCCTAGTTCTGAGTCTTGAGCATGCCAGAAGTTGCTGCGACCCTTTCTGTGATGGCCCACCCCCAAGCTCAGCATTCACTAGCAGGTGCTACAACCTGGCTCAGCCCACCCTACCCCCAGTCTAGTTCTCACTGGTAGGTGCAGCAGCCTAACACAGGCTGACCCACCCCTAGCCCTCATATGAACTGGTAGTTGTTGCGTTCCAGTCAGCCTGGTCTGTACTGTAACCTGGCTCTTGCTTGTGCCAGTGTATGCCACAGATTGGCCCAGCCTAGTCTACATCCAGACCTGGCTCACACATGTGCTGATGGGTGCTGTAGCCGAGCCTGGCTTGGCCTGGCCTGGCCCACTGCCAGCCTTGGCTCTCATGCTCATCAGTGGAAGCTGCAACATAGCAGGGGAATTCTCCAAGTTCCCCTACAAGGCTTGCTCCTAACCCTGGATCTTGTGTGTGCTGGCAGATGCTGCAGCCCAGCCAGATATGGCCTGTCCCCAAACGTAGCATACACCAGTGAATATTATGACCTAGTGTGACTGGCCTACATCCATTCTGGTTTGCCAGTGGGTACTACAGCCTATCCCAGCCTGGCCCACCCCCACATCCAGCTCGCATTTGAGCCAGTGGGTGCCATGGCCAAGCTTTGCCTGTCTACACCAATTCCAGCTATTGTGAGTACGAGCAAGTGCTGAAGCCTAGCCAAGGCTGACCTTCCTAAAAACTCAATCTATACAAATGCTAAAGATTGCTGCAGCCTTGCCAAGCCCAGGCTGCTCTCAACTCTTCTCAGGGTTTGATCTTGCCAGCAGGCCTTGAGGTCACCGAGGGTAAGGTGATGGTGTTCTTCAGCCAAAGAGCCACGGTTTCAAGCTGGTGAGGAATGTCTGCTGTATTATTCACAAATTACAAGTTTTAAAGGTTAGGGAAGGGCAGAGCAGGAGGGTGTCTTCTGGCAGTCCTCCATCCACCAAAGATGCTGTAATTGGCTATAAGGCATGTCCATTCCCATTAATCTTTAATCATGTCAGAAGTCACGATCCACATGCATTCCCTTTGACTTTCTAGTCATGTCAGAGATCACGTTCTGCATGCAGGGCTGGAAACTGTTCCTCAGGTCATGGGCAGGTATGCAGTGAGCCATGCCCACCAGGTAGCAGGCAGGAGCCCATAAACTCTAGCTCTCACACTCACCAGTAGGAGCTGTAGTATAATGGAGGAGTACCTAGAGTTCTGCTACCAGGTCCCTTCCCAGTCCCTGATCTTGCTCATGCTGGCAGGTGCATGCCAGCACCAGCCTGGGCTGCCCCCAACTCTTGCTGTCATATTCACCGATAGGAGCCATAGCTTAGCAGAGGAGTCCCTGGAATTCCCCTGCCAGGTCCCTTCCTAGTCTGTGATCTTGTACATGATGGAGATATTTGACCCCAACCTGGTGTGGCCTGTAGTCTCAGCTTTTGCTGGCTGGTGTTGCATCCTAGTCTACCTGGGCATGACCTGCACCATGTCCAGGTTCTGGTTCTTATGTGTGCTAGCTTCATCCTACCTGATGTGACAAGAGATCCAGCACACACAAATGCTGACAAGTGCTGCAGCCCTGCCTGGCCTGGTCAGCCTATAACCCTGGCTCTTGTGTTCCCCAATAGGAACTATGGCCTAGCAGGGGAGTTCCGCAAGTTCTCCTATCAGGCCTGCTCCTAGCCCTGAAATCTTAGTGTGCTGGAAATTGCCATGGCACTGCTTGGCATTGTGTACCTTCAGTCCTGGCCTTTGTGTGTGCTAGCAGGTGCTGCAGCCTGGTCCAGTCAGGCACCCTCCTAGCCCTGGCTCCCGCCAGTGTCAGATGAGTTCTGTGGTCCAGTCTGTTTCAACTGGTCACCACTTTCAGCTCTCCATGTAAGCTGGTAGGTTCTATAGACCCACAGAGGTGAGTTCATAAGTCCCATACAGAATCAGCCCCCAGTATTCTAGTGGGTGCTGTGGCCAGCCTGACATAGCCCAAATCATCCCACATGTAGATTAAAATAGGCCTGGGTTGTGAGTTTCGTACAGGTTATGATGAAGTCAGCACAATTGTAAACAGAAACTGAACATTGGGAACTATGCTGAGACATAATTGGGGTTTCTGAAAACAGAAACACAGATACCTCGATATGTAGGGAACAGCAAAAGGTGCTCTTTTCATTTGCTTTCTTCAAACATCTCCTAAAAATATTTATTGTTGGTTTGTACAGATATATATGACTACTTGATGTGAGCTCACAGCAGATTAAAAGAAAAAACAAACAAAACAAACAAACAAAAAATCCCTACAGAAAACCTGATTCTTGCTTCCAGACGAATGTTTAAAGGGTGGAACACCAGTGTAATCATTAGAATGAGACCAGAGGCCTTCCAGAGTGGATGAGTGACTCTGTAATAATCCAAACCAAGAAAATTTTGGAGTTGCTATAACCAAGAACACTGACAGATGATATAACCCCAAGCAGTGATAAAGCTGAGGATAGAATTTGGATATCCTTATCATCATTCTAGTGTCATATCTGAGTAAGAAATATCTGTTGATGTGACACCCTTCATCACTCTGATTATTTACTTCCCTAACTGAAAAAGGTGTAACTCGTCTATTCAGGGAATTTAGAGAATAGCAATAGGTCTAGATAACTTTTTTTTTTAAAGACTTATTTATTTTTTTATTGGAAAGTCAGATATACAGACAGGAGGAGAGACACTAAGATCTTCTGTTCCCTGGTTGATTCTTGAAGTGGCCACAATGGCCGGAGCTGAGCCAATGCAAAGCCAGGAGCCAGGAGCTTGTTCTGGATCTCCCATGTGGATGCAGAGTCCCAAGGCCTTAGGTCATCCTCTGCTGCTTTCCCAGGCCTCAAGCAGGGAGCTGGATGGGAAATGGGGCTGCCAGGACATGAACTGGCACTGATATGGGATCCCAGGTATGTAAGGTGAGGACTTTAGCCACTAGGTTACCACGCCAGGCCCTAGATAACTCTATTTTGCTGCAAGTGCATACATTTTGTTGCTAGAGGCCTGCTGTGACTCTGTAGGGAAGCCTGTGCTCTGTGACAAATTCAATTCAGTGGAGAGTCCGTAAACCCACTTGGTGAGCAGACATTCCAACCCAAAAAGAGATGTCAGTTTTAAATAATAATTTCCCCCAAATTATTATCAATTAGGCTTTTTGATTATGTTTGTTTTGCAATAAATGTGATAGTTGGCTATCATGGAATTTCAAAAGAAATAGAAAACAAGTGGAAGTATTCTGTTACTCCTTAATTACATTTTCCATATTTCTCAAATTGAACTTCAGCACCAAATTCCCTAAAGGGGAGAGAAATGAAGGAACATTATTATTATAAGAAAAGTGAGAATTGTTCTTAAATGTACTCTCTATTATTTTTTACAACCTAAAAATCAGTTGCTTTACAATTTCCTTTAAAAATTAACCTTATTTCTGTTCCTATTTGTCACCACCACAGTTTTGTATCTCTTATAGTGTTAATTCTCCAAAAAGTGTTCTGTTCAGTTTTCTAAAATAAAGTTTTGTCATCTTGGAACCTATTCCTGTTTCACTCAGTGCTTTTCCTTTCAGCATAAGAATACACCAAGAGGTATATGACAAGCGGAGCAGTGATCCTGTGCATAGTTCACTCTGTACTCAAAGCATCTGAGCGTAGGACACCTCTGAGCGTAGGAAATCTCTGCCTCACTCGAGCATGTAGGCTTCATGTAGACTGGCTTCTTTTTGAGTTTTCACCCTTGCAGATGACAGTATACTCCCTGCCTTATTTCTCAGTTCCAAATGATTCCCCAGTAGATTTAACTATCAATTTTCCTTTATGAATTTGGTTTATTTAAAAGTTTTAACTTCTCTGTGTTTAAGAAATACCCAACCCTAACCCCAGATTCAAATGTGTATATGTGTGTGTGTGTATCATATATGATTCACATATTACTCTTGTGGTCCAGATAAATGCTTCGGGATAAATGGTTAATAAAAACATAAAGAAGCAATGTGAACCACCTCCGCCAACAAGGAGAGATTTGAAACTTCAGTTACCTGGAATGCCTGAACTTTACCTGAATAGGGAGCCACTGCAGGGACACTAATGTTTATTTATATTGCCTCTGAAAATCTGCATTTTTATTTTATTTTATTTATTACTAATTTATTTTTAGATTAAATGTAATTTCTAAATCAACCATCTAAAGCTTATTTAAAAACTACTTTTATTATCATCAGCTATTATACAAATTTGTCAACTTGGACTGCATTTGCAAATTCTTGAGGAGTTTGAGCTTTGTTTCATAAAAATCTATGTTCTTGGTAGCTTTTAGCAGAGTCTGACACTGAGAAAGTATTAAGTATTTGTATTAACTGTGGCCAAGAATTACATTCTTCAGTATTTTTTGGAGGGTATCTGTTATTCATAAATGGGAAGTCTCTTTCTGGATTTTGAGTACAATTTGCCAAGTTTATTCTTTCAAGCCTCACCATGAGCTGAGACTGAGGAATTATCACTCATCAATCAAAACAGCATTGAGACTTTTCTTTTTTGCCTCAAAACAAAGAAATGGCTTGAAAGTTAAATTTGTATTTGCATGTTAGAAGGAAAATTAAAACGAATGTAGTGGTCAGTGTACCACTTCTGCATGGACTCAGTTTCCTGTGTTTGAGAGTAGGATCTTTGGTTTTGAACATTTTTCATGTTGGCTACTAAGTCATGTTGTTTCTCATTTTCAAATAACAGGAAACCTCATTTGTGTTTAGAATTAAGAATGACAGCTAGAGTGATAATAGCACATGTGTCAGAGTTAAAATATACATTGAACAAAAGGAACAGAAGGTGGGAGAAAGAATGAATGTATCAAGAGTTCCAATTCCTGAGAGATGATCCAGGAAAAGGTAAAGAAAGAAGGAAAGAAGAGAGGGATGCGGGCAGAGTGGAAGGGAAATGCTTCTTGCTTCTCTTCCCCAGTGCTGCCGGAAGAATATGAGGCATGACCCTAAAGCTGGTGAGACTGTTCTGTGCAATCATAGCTTCCTCAGTGAGGATGAAATGAATCTCAGAATTACATGCCAGAACTGCCCGTTCTCTGTAACTTTCAGGAGGTTAGGCCATTATGAGTAAATTCTTACACTGCTCTGATTGGTGATGAGTGTCCAAGTACCAGATAGTGCCTATGTGTGTCATGGGGGAGGGGCCGCTTACATAAAACAACTGAATAGTTTCAAGTCTATTGTCTAAATAGCTGCTTTCTAAGAAATCAATAGAAACTGCTTTAAGAAAGAATGGGTAGAATTTAAATATTCTACATAGTCTGGTAAGATTCGTGAATTCTCATTCACCTTTCTGTGAAGACAGTGATAGGGACTTGGCTATTTTATATATTTTTAGTTTCTATTGTTTCTTTTAAAAGATACTTCAGGGCCTGGCACAGTAGCCTAGTGGCTAAAGCCCTTGCCTTGCATGCCCGTAATACAATATGGGCACCAGTTCATGTCCTGGCTGCTCCACTTCCCTTCCAGCTCCTTGTTTGTGGCCAGGGAATACAATCAAGGACAGTCCAAAGGCCCTGGGATCCTGCACCTGCATGGGAGACCTGGAAGAAGCTCCTGGCTCTTGGCTTCAGATCACCTTAATTCGGGCTGTTGTGGTCACTTGGGGAGTAGACCAGTGGATGGGAGATCTTTGTCTCCTCTCTGTGATTCTGATTTTCCAATAAAAAAAAATCCTTTTTAAATAAGAAAATATTTCAGCCAATCTCTGAAACTAGTACTCACTCTAGAGTTGGGTGTGTATCCCCTTATTCCAGCTTCTACACCCCATCTCAATCAGTGCTTAGCAGAAATCCTCATGAGGTACTAACATCATGCTGGAGGCTGGTGAGAACTACTCTCAAAGGAAGTTGTGCAGTTGGCATGAAGAGTATAGGTTCTTGATGTGAATACTGTTCTTGAGCCTGCCCTTTAGTATACGCTAGCACGTCATGAATGATGAATATGTTTTCATTGGATCTGGAGCCATTCCGTCTTAAGTTTGACTTCTGGGGTGAGGGGTGGAGAGAATGATGGAGATGAGCTTTGCAAGTAGGTGCGCAGTGCCCTCATGACCCACGCAAGAAAAAGTGTGGATTCCACGTCTTTGGTTAGCTTCCCTGCTTGTTGAGCTGTCATACATATTGTCATTCCTTGTGGGTAGCAGAATTAAATATTGCTTATGCTAACCCACAGGGAGAGGACTACTGGAAATTCTCTCTCGTATCTCCAAATTGGTGTATTTTCATTGTAATAAATAGATACAAGTAATGTAAGCACTGTTCTGAGTTTCATGAGGCCTTCTAGTGAATTATCAAACCTGAGAGTAGTCATGGGACAACACTCTCTCTGCCCGCCCCCTCCCACAAAGATCTCACAAGTTGTGAAGGAGGAACTGCCAATACACAGGCTTATTCATGAAAACATTTAAGTGAAGCTAACATATTTCACGTGGAATGTTACTGATTTTTTTAAAATCTGAATTTCCTGCTGGATTTATTTAAAAGATAACAGTATCACAGTTGTTAACCTTTTATTTAGGTGAGAAAATATAACCATCTTGTTACACATGTTCAGCAATGTTTGTGCTTATATCCTTATCTAGGTCTTCATCTGTACCTTCATCTATACTTACTGCTTTATCTTCATCTCTGTCTATATCTGTATTTGTTAATATTTGTCAAATGACAGGCTTGTCAATGAGACTTGTAAAGAATTTGAATGATTTTCATAATAATGGCCTTTCATGTGTTGTTTGAATATAACATATAGACTTTTTATAAATACTATTTCTGTGTAACCCTCCCAGAACTTCATGTAAGTTTTTTGTTTTCAAAATATGTCTACTTTGAAATGTTAATTAAACTTACAACATTTTTCACTGTCCATATAGTCTGCCCATAATATATATATATATTTAATTTAGAAAAATGCACTTGTTAATTTTACTTATTTGAGGGATGAAGAAGTAGTGACAGTCAGATGGTCAGTCAAACAGACAGACTTCTTACTGCAGTAGTTCACCCCCTAAACACTGGGTACATCCTAGATTGCACTGACTGGGAGGCAAGAATTCAATCAAATTCTCCTACATGAGTGGCAGAAGGCCCAGCCACCTGCTGCTTTTGATGTAAACTAGCAGAAAGCCAAAATTAGAAATGGAGCAGGACTTAAAGTCAGGTACTTGGATATGGAATGCAGGCAACAAATATTATGGCAGCCTCCGTGCCACGTACTTATCCCTACACCCAAAGTTTCATAAAGAACAGGCTATTTTTTGATGGTATGCATCAGTAAAATCTAATTCCTTGGTTTTTATTTTTTGGAACTTCTGTGAAATTCCATAGGGGAAAATATAGTAATGGTGTTTTATTTTTACTTACCACTTGTCAATACAGAAAAAACACTCATTCTGATAAGTATGGTTATTTTTAGCACACACGTATGCTGTCACATTAGGACAATCGGCTTCATAAGAAGGTTCCAATGGTTGATATAAATGGCATGGAGGCTGTAAATACCATGGAAATAATGAATATTTATACTCTTTCTTCTGTGCCTTGCTTGTCACTTCTGTCACAGAACTATTCATTGATGTTTTTCATGAATTTCTTATATTCTGAGGGTCCACCAGAAAAGTTTTGTTTTTTCCTGACTGTAGTGTATGCACCCATCCCTGGCACCTCTTTTTTTTTAAGATTTATTTATTTATTGGAAAGTCAGATATACAGAGAGGAGGAAAGACAGAGAGGAAGATCTTCCATCTGATGATTCACTCCCCAAGTGAGCGCAACGGCCGATGCTATGCCAATCTGAAGCCAGGATCCAGGAACTTCTTCTGGGTCTCCCACATGGGTGCAGGGTCCCAAAGCCTTGGGCTGTCCTTGACTGCTTTCCCAGGCCACAAGCAGGGAGCTGGATGGGAAGTGGAGCTGCTGGGATTAGAACCGGCGCCCATATGGGATCCTGGTACGTTCAAGGTGAGGACTTTAGCCACTAGGCCACGCAGCCGGGCCCCCCTGGCACCTCTTAAATTCATAGTATAATGGCATTCATGCATAACTCCAAATACAGAGCTTTCATTTAATCTTGGTCTCCCATCCCAGTCACTCTAGGACATTTGTGAGGGAAAGAGGGATGTGTGTGTTTGTGAATTTCTAGAAAACTGAGCTCAAGTGTGGTTGGGAAGAATGGTGGTTCAGTATTGAGACGGCGGATACATTTTAGAGTTACCAGAATCAACTTTGTGATTGAGTAAGTGACAGGTGTTAACTTACTTAATACTTAGAAATATACTAACTCAGTGTATCTTATTTGGCCTTATGTATTTATTTTGCTAAGAGGTATTACTATATTATGGTACTTTTACTGCAGGATGGCATCTAAGCCAGAGAAGTTAAGCTACATGCCAGAGTCCACAACAAATCTTTCTCTTCTCCTTTACTTGCATTAAATTTCACATCAGCCATATCCAGAAATTGATCTGGAATGAAAAATGCAAATTTACCTTAGGCCATTTGGAAATGTCATGTGTTCTGAGAATGCCTGCAATTAAAGCACAAACAATAGGTTAGAGGATAACATATAATCCACACATATAATCCAAGCATGAGTCTTGTTAAAGTTTTTGTTTCTCAATGGCTTATTTTCTGTTATTGTCATTTAAATAACCTGGCAAGACCTGGATGAAAACTCATATCTTTTTGGCATTCTGATATGAAATGCCGGTGATGGTGAGCGGAACATTTACCTTCATACTACGGTGATTGCCCAGAAAAATACCTTTTAGTGAGACTTGAATCTGATTACCAAACTCAAAGAAAAAATTCAGACAACATATTATTATGATGAAAACAATACATATTTGTTGTGCTCTAGAGGGTTTCTTTTGAATTAACAAATTAGAAAATAGAATAAGAATCCACAATGGAGATAACAAGCTTGATTTTTCCACTGAAGAAAGTTGTGTGTGTATGTGTGTATATTTCATTTATTTATATATTATATATAATATTTATATTATATAACATATATTGTTTATATCTTATATTATACTAATGCATAATAAATATATCATGTTTATATAATTATTTCTTTTTATTTTACTATATTATATATTATAATTATTCTGTCACATACAATATAATATACATTATATTATGTATCATATAATATATTGTTTATATTCATATTTTATTATTTATATATAATATAATAAATATATTTATATCTATATTATATGACATATAATAATATGTTATACTACATATTCATATATTATATGTGATATATATGTATATAGTTCATTTTTTTTTTGTAGAAAAGGCTCATTTATTTATTTGAAGGAAAGAGAGAGTTGGATTAATTTTTATCTGTGGGTTCATTCCCAAACTGACCATAACAGCAGAATCTGGGCCAAGCTGAAGCCAGGAGCTGAGAATTTCATCCCAGCTCCCTTTACATGAATGGCAGGGGCCCAAGCACTTTCTGCTGCTCCTAGGCACATTAACAGGAGGGTAGATCAGAAGCAGAGGAACTGGGGCTTGAACTGGCTCTCTGATATGGGATGCTACTGTGCTACAATGACTTTCCAGAAAAATACCTTTTAGGGATACGTGATTCTGATGAACAAGCTCAAAAACATATTTAAGCAAAAGCATTCCTTATCCAATATTACAGAAAACTTTTTTTTCCCCTCTCTTGTAACTTCAGGGAGATCAGACGGTTAGTCTTCCTAAATCGACAGATTGCTCACCTGAAAAAACAGTATGTGCCAAAGCAGAGAATACCAGGAAAAATATGATCTTTGGAGAAAGGCAGCCATTTGATTTCATCTGGTATCCTTCTTTCATGAAACCTGCAAAAATGCCCAAGACAATTTAGTCCTAATTTCTGACAGAACTGGCTTTCTAAGCATCGGACAACCCCAAAACCCCAGCTAGTGTCATGCCCATGGAGTTGGCTTTGGCAGTCTCACAATGGCCCGAAAGATCTCTCTGCTCTCAACAAGGGAAGAAAAATACCCTTCCCCCTGCCAATCACAAGTTTATGTACATCACAGTTCTAGCTTAGAAGAAAAATGGACCTCAGGACTCTCATTTTAGCCGACCCCAAATATGTTACCTATCAGTAAATTTATTTTACACTTTGGGATACTCTTGTGATTGACTGTAGACATGCCATATATTCATGAGAATTCTAGGATAATAAATGTGAATTGAAGGTTGTCCCTCATATTCAGGCACATGTCACCCTGTAATACAAGCTGTTTGATTTTCTGAACTAGATTAGTTTTCTCCACACTGGTATCTTTCATTTTCTGGTTACTCTTTGTTGGGCCAGTTAAATGAATACAAATATAAAGAAGGAATTGCAAATGGAATTATTAATCCTGGGAAATACCAATTATATGTGGCACCATTCCTGATAAAAGAATCAGCGCGCGCGCACACACACACACACACACACACACACACACGAACTACAGAAGTTTGTGGAAAATGGAATCATTTCTCTTTGTGCAAAATATTTTGAAATTCACATGCAGTATTTTCGTAACAGTTTTCCATTAACTTTCTGGCATTGAATTCATGTATTAAAATGCATAAGACACTAGAAACTATGGAATTTGGAGTCAGAAATTAGAAGTCCTAGGTTCAGCATCTCCTAGGTATGTGAGTCTCAGAAAAAATATTTGTAGAATATTGAAAGGATCAACTGGTATTAATATGAGGTTAATCATATTAAATAGACGATTTATTCAGTTCAAATTTTGTTTGTAGGGATGAGAATATTAGAGGAAATAAAAACTACTCAATTCCGTTTCTTCAGCTTTATCATGCTCTAGCAAATTCAATGTACTCTTTTCCAAATTCTAACAGGTGAGCATGTAGACAAATGATTCAGAACCACATTAAGGCAGAAGCTCCCTTTACTTTCACAGGCAAAGGAAACAAAAGGAAAGTGTTAGGGGGAAGCAAAACTCACTGTTGGTAATGACATCTTCCAGTGATGGGAGAGATCACTAATGTGGAAGGCAAAGAGAAGATATCTGAATAAAGTGATTAAACCTTGAGGTCACAGTTTACCTTGAGAGGAGTTGCTGGTTTGGATTTCTTTGGCCAGGGATGTGTGGAGCACAGTAGCAGTCTCCTTACTTGGATCACTGATGCCTAGTAGCATGAATTGTCTCAAAGGGCTGTTTGTTTCTGACTTTGATCTTTCAATTGTGTCTGATGTTTCATGCACCAATAGGCTGGGTCAGACTTGAAGGCTATGTGCATAGATTTCTATTTGTGGAGCATGAGAACAAGAAGTACTGGTGTCTGCAAATCAGACTGATGACCTACCGTATTCCAGAACATTTGGTCAATTTTGATTCAGGTGGATTCTGGTCTTTGCAAATGCCTCTACCTCTATTTCTCAGAAGTCTTACATGTTTTATATTTCTTGGGTATCATTTTTTTTTCCTCTGGGAAATAACAATATTCCAAATAATAATCTTTGCAAGACCTATGCCTCCCATTATTCCATTTAGTGCCTTGTACCATGTCTCAACTCTGACAAGTCTGAAAATTGACCTAAAATTCAGCCTCACAGACTTTAAATTACTTTGTGTTGTTAGTAGTCTTGTTGTTGTTTTATGTTCCTGCCTCAAACTGAAACCCAGGTCTGACATTTATATTTAGCCTCCTTTTTCATTGTGTCCTTCATCTATTTTTGATAGTTTTTAGTTTGAGAGACAAATCTTCTGTCTGCTGTTTTACTTCCCTTGGGAGGAACAGGGTAGAACAGAGACCCCAAAATGAAGTGTCAGAAATGAGAGCTTCCAGTAAAAAGATAGCTTTCAAAGTAAATTGAGATTTTAAATCCAGTTTCAGAGTATGTTCATCTTAAATGAAACTCAGACCAGTAAGACTTTTATTGGTTGGATTGTGTGTTTTATGCCTTAACCACAGTCACAATAAATATTCTGAAAATGGATGCAGAAAATAGACAAAAAAGCTTCCATAGTTTGTCTGAAAAGAAAGAAACCAAGTCATTGAAGGTGGTAAGGTCTTCAGAAAGGAAAGGACTTTTATTTAGACAATCCTATGGGATCCTTGTGTCTCAGGTCCCCAACCTGATGGTTGAGCATGTGCTGGTGTGAACTTGATAGGGATTCAGCAACCCTTCCTCTGGTTTCTGAAGCCAAACTCTCCAGACATAAAATTGAGATGACTAGAATCTTACCCAATTTTACTGGTGAACAACACGCTTAACAGTACCTTCTTATGACAAACAGTAGTTCTAAACAACACAACACAGAACAAAAGAAGACAATGACTAGCTATAACAAGAGTCACATACCCAAAGAGCTGTTCATTTCTAACCAAAATTTTCTCCTGTAAAACTCGATTGGAAAATCCCTCTTAGAAGAGATAAGGTTCAATTGAGTAGAGGTTGATTATCATGTTTTGTGGTGAAGATTGCTTTTGGTCACCTTTGCTGAGAGTTCTATGCCCCTCCTGGATTTTGTTTCCCAATTCTTGTTCCAGATTAGGGAAATTTTTCTTATTTGATTAAATAGATTTTTAAACTCAGCTTCCCTGTCTGCATCTTCTACAACTCCCATAACTCTTATGCTGGGCCTTTTAATTATTAAATACTTTATTTTTAGCTTGATCCAGCCAGCTCCACTTTCAGCTTTTGCTTGTTTCCCCATTGTGAAAACAAATATCTTCCAATTCTGAGATTTTTTTTGCCGCATTCATTCTGTTATGGAGACTTTCCACTGAATTTTTTTTTTTAAAGATTTATTTTTATTATTTTTTTATTGGAAAGGCGGATATACAGAGAGGAGAGACAGAGAGGAAGATCTTCCGTCCGATGATTCACTCCCCAAGTGAGTCAAACGGCCGATGCTATGCCGATCCGAAGCCAGGAGCCTCTTCTGGGTCTCCCACGCGGGTGCAGGTTCCCAAAGCTTTGGGCTGTCCTCGACTGCTTTCCCAGGCCACAGGCAGGGAGCTGGAAGGGAAGCGGGGCTGCTGGGATTAGAACCGGCGCCCATATGGGATCCCGGGCGTGCAAGGCGAGGACCTTTAACCACTTGCGCCACCGCGCCGGGCCCTCCACTGAATTTTTAATTTGCTCTATTGTGTCCTTCATTTCCAATAATTGGGCTTGATTTTGTTTCAGTGTTGTTATTTCCTGTATAATATACTGCTTAAAATCCTTGAACTCCTCATCTCCTTCTTGTTAAGAAACTTGATAATGATTCTTCTGAATACTTTATCCCCCATTTTCTCAATGTGTTCTTAAGTTAATTCTGAGGTTGGCAAGGGCTTTTGCCCCTTTGCAGGGGGTCTTCAGTAATTTTCATTGTGCCTGCATCTCTTTTTTTGCTCTTGATCATTGTACTTCTGCTTAACAGATTCCCCTTAGGGCAGGTTTCTAAGCTGTGTCACCCACAGGTCTACAATTCAATTTTACTTATTACAGTTGGCACCAGGTCCTTTTTTTGCAGTCACTTGTGCCACTCTGGGGTCTTTTGTTAGACTTCCACCAGTCTCCATAGCCCCATCTTCTGGCCCTCTCCACCTCATGTGACCCATGCTGAGGCTTCACTGTTGCCTATACAGCCTTTCTCTCACTTCTGATTCAGGCAGTTCCCAGGATTAAGGAGACACCAGGTTTCCTGAATAGCTAGTATGTTGGTGGTGTTGATCTTGCCAGAACCTGCTTGCCCTTTGATCTGAGGGCTACACAGACTTATTTTGGGTCATAAGATCCCAAAGTCAGTTTTATTTTTTATGTGTGACCAGTACAATGCACTAAGCCCAGTGAGTTCACTCCCAGCTCAGTGCATGTGCAAGTCACTATTGTCCCTGCAGTCTCAAAGTCTTTTCCATGTTGTACAAAATGGTGCCTGACATGGCATTGGTGGAATTCTAGATCTGCTGGCCATTAGGTCTGGGCCTACCCAGACCTATTTTGTGTGGAACCTATAGAATGCCACATTATCGCAGTGCACTGAGCCAGAAATGAGTTTGCTCCCAGCTTATTGCATGCACAACTCTGTCCCATAGCCTTTGCCTTCCTATGCAAAATGGCACCCAGTTAGGCTCAAGTGGGGAACTGGGCTGTGATATCCACCCTGTTACTGCACCACCAGTTTGGGATCTGCTGCTCTGTCTCTGCTCCTGATCAAATCAAGTAGAACAGCCAGATGGGCAGCTCTCTGACTTCACCTCTTGAGGTCTTGTTGAACTCCCCTTCCCTGCTGGTTTCTGGTGAAATCTCAGGCTGCCGGTGGAGTTGAGATTGCTGCTCACTGACTGCTCTTGGGGTATCTGGCCACTGCAACACTGCACTGTTGTCTCTGCTGCATTCCTGTGTCTGTCAGTCTCCCAGTGCCCCTCTGCCATCAGTCTGTTCTATTTCCTGGAATGTGCCCTCTTTGCTTCCATGTCTAATGTTTCTCCATTTGTTTGAATGTGTCATTACCCTATTCCGCCATATTGATTCTCTGTAGTCACCACTACGCTTCTCATTAACAACTGAAGAGGGCAGTCATATACTACATAATGTAGTAAGTCAGATACTTGCATCTCAACTTGCTCAGAAAAAAATCTGTACCCTTTTAGATGAACAGAAAAGAAAAAAAATCTGTACTTTTTCAGAGGAACAGAAAAGTAAAGGCCATCTACTACAAAGCTACCATAAAATGAAATCATATATAAGCATTAAATATTTTAGGCCAATATTACTCCTTCTTTACATATACATAGACACAGTCACGTATCCAAGCCAGCGTTCCAGTGTCAATAAATGGTTGTAGATTCTGTTTTTGACTGCTATAGACTGTTATTGAACTTACCTGTCCACTGTAAGGAAGTAGAAAACTGGACAAGATTAAAAAATAATTGTATTGCAGCGTTAGACCACAGGCAGTGAAAAACTAAGCTGGTAGATTGCTGAGGAAAGACAGGCAGCTACCTGGACTCCCTGGCTTGCACATGACATTTTAATGGAAGCTGTTGACCTCAGACCTCTTGCATCTGGTATATCACATACGAGCAGCACTTGAATAATACCAAGTGACAGGAACCATTAGGATATGCTCAGTGTTGGGTTTTATTAACTTGGCAATGAGTATTGAAATAGTCCTGTTGATTCCTTAGTGTCAACTGAAGCTTGTAATAGAAGTGATGGAAATATTCCCTCAGCTACTTAGGTAGGTCCTAGAGATGTCATACATGGGTTTCACATGTCAGCAAAGCCTGTGGATCCATGGAGGGTTTGAAGGAGCACACAAGAGGCCAATCTCACACGCATCAAAACAAGTTTGTTTTACCAGTACATGCTGAGTGTCAGAAGCCGCTAGAATATACCCAGTATTGGGCTTTACCAAATGAGACTGAGTCCCAAGACACAGTCGCTTTACCCCTTGCTATCTCTCTAAGATTGAGGGCAGCCCTGCAGCTACCCAGAGTGGTCCCAGGATGCTCACCTCTGATCCTGCTGTCACAGTCTCCACATGTCCTGAGGTATTTGCAAAGCCTACCCAAAATATGCCTTAGGCACTCAGGTGCTTAGAGTAAATATTGCATATAATTCTTACCATTACAAGCCTCTACACATAGTGTCAGTAAATGATTTTACAAGAGTATTTACCTACCAATCTGTTTTTACTTGCACAGTTATCTTTATCCACTTGAAAGGCGGAGATACAAAGAGGCAGAGACAGACAGACACAGGGAAAACTCTTTATCACTGGGTCACTCCACCAATGCCCTTAACACCCAATAGACCAGGCAGAAGCTGGGAACAAGGAATTCAGTCTGGCTTTTCCATACAGATGACAGGAACCCATGAACTTGATCCAACCCTTGCTGCTTCCATAGGGTCTGCACTGGCAGGAGGCTGGAATCTGAAGAGGAGTGGAGATTAAAAGGCATTCTCCCCCAGGCATTCTCATGTTGGGAGAGGCATCCTGAGTGAAATCCTAGCACCTTGTGCATCCCAAGTGACTTCCTAGCAGCTGACCCATTCCACCCCCGCCCGCCCCACCTGTTTTTATTTTTCATTTGAACTGGTTGCTGGGTTGGAGTCTGACTGGTAATGTAAGGAGTCCCTGAAGTTTCCATGAAGAAGATTCTAACTCAGAGGCTCCTTGAAAGTAGATGTGGGCATTATGG